GGGTCAGAGGGAGAAGCAGACTCCCTGCCGAGCAGGGAGCCCGATGCGGGACTCGATCCCGGGACTCCAGGATCATGACCTGAGCTGAAGGCAGTTGCTTAACCAACTGAGCCACCCAGGCGCCCCGTGACAGCAGCTTCTTTACACAACCCCACAAGGTAAACACTGTCACTGTCCCCATTGTATAGATGAGGAAACCAAGGCTTCAGGAGAGGTGACTTGCCCAAGGTCTCCTAAGACCAAGATCTCATTAGACGTGGAGCTAGGACCCCACAAGTCCTCCAACTCCACTATACCACCAGGAGTTCAAGGAATACCAGCAAGGGTTCCTCCCGTTAGTCTTCCAGATGTTTCCCCCACCAGACAGGCCAGGCTGTCAGCCTGCAGTGCAGACCCCCTGCTCCCAGGAGAAGAAACTGTTTTCTGCCCATGGCCAGGTCTCCCAGCACACCCATCCCTGGCTTCCAATTGGGCACTCTCTTCCCTGTTGAGTTGCAGGTTACAACCAGCACAGGGATGAGAAAGCACTAAGGTGTAGGCCCCGGGAGCAAGTGACTTCTGTTTGGTCTCGTTTCTTCTTCCTCTCTGTTGCCTCTCATTCTCTTCCTTCCTCCTTCTCCAAAATGCCAGCAGCAGCCACAGCAAGCCCTGAGAACTGACCATTCCGTATCTAGAAGGGAGCATTCCTGTACCAGGCCCTTCCTACAGCCCGGGAATGGCCACAAACGGAAACAAGGGGTCATGGGGCAGGTCCGAGCCCTCATCCTGCCTGCAAAGCCACAGTCGTTCCTGCAAACTATACCTCGATGCAAAGACAGGAAGCAGCAAGGGGCAGTGTCACCCTCCACGGTCCCTGCTCCCACATGGGCCTGAGTCTCTTGGTGACTAAAGCTCAGGTCATTCTTACAAAGAAGACTGTGTGCAAAGTCTCCACCAATGCCACCATCCTCATCCCTGTAACCGTAACAACCATGCCTGCATCTCAGTACAGCTCACGAATGCCTAGCACTGGGCCAGGTGCTTTTTGGACTTTGAGTCATCTAAGCCTCCCAACAACAACATTTTACGGTAGAACAAATAGGCTTGGCCAGCTTAGGCGTGCTGCCTAAGTCACAAGAATAGGAAATGGCAACCCTGGGCTTCAAGCTTTGACCTCTCTGATCCTAAGTCCACGCTCCTGGTTGCTGCACTTGGCAGCCTAGTGAAACTGCGTGGACCATGCCACAGAGTCACTTGTCGAGCCACGAACTTGAGCGGTGAGCTTCAGAGCAAGTGAAAGCCTTCTATCCAGTATCGTTCAACACATACTCCATTAGAAAAAGTAACCAACACTTCCCAAAAAGTGTTGGTGCCTACAGCAGGATCAACAAACTGCCTACAAAGGGCCAGATAGTAACTATTTTAGGCTCTGCAGGCCATAACGTCTGGTTCACAAATTCTCAACTCTGCCCAACTCTGCCAGTTAGTGCGAGAGCAGCCATGGACAATACATAAATGAGCCTTGCTGTGTTCCAATAAAACTTTATTTACAAAACAGGCAGAGGTCCAGATTAGGTGAGCAGGCAGTAATTTGCTGACCTGTGGCCTAGAGCATAGTGGCTCAACCCATGGCTATCTAGAGACAGAGGACCTGGGTATGAATCCTGAATCTCATCCCAACCACTTGCTAACTGTGCCATCTGGCTAAACGTCTTTATCTCCTGGCCTCACGTTTCTCACCTTCAAAATGGAGATGACCACTGAGCCCACTTCCCAGAGTTTTTGTGAGGATTAAATGAGCTAAAAAATACCTAGCGCATCATAATCACCCCATCCTCCTTGGAAAACACCCACAGGGAAAGCAAGGAACTAAAGCGACGTTTGGATTCAGCCAATCTGCAGGTTCAGGGCAGACTCGTGGTTCTCACCCCAGGCGATTTGGTTCCCAGGCAACTTCTGACAAGGTCTGGAGACATTTTCGGTTGTAATACCTGGGGGAGGGGTGCTGCTGGCATCTAGCAGGTAGAGGCCAGAGAAGGTACTAAACATCCTCCAATGCACAGGACAGCCCCCTACAACAAAGAATTATCCACCCCAAAACGTCACCAGGGCTGAGGTTTAGAAACCCTGAGGCAGAACAACCAAGATGACGAAGGGACTCAAATGTGTCCTTTGAGCAGCTGAAGGGACTAAGGTGTTTATCCTGGTGAAGATTCAGGGGAGAACATAACTCAGAAAAGACATGATAACCATCTGCAAATATTTCGAAGGCAGGCTTATGAAAGAGGAGCCAGAAAGACTTGCATGGCCCAAGAAGACCCACGGCCATTGCAGGATGTGGGCTCAGTGTCAGCACAGTGGACTCCCTAAAGAGAACCTGCCTTTCTGCACAAGTGACCCCCCCCAGCCCCAGGTGAGCAGACCAGGTGTGGACACCTGGCTGGAGCTGGGACCAAGGCTTTCCCTGGGGATTTGAAATTGGCTTTCTTTTTCTTAGTCCCAATCTTTCCACAGCCTCTGCCAGAAGCCCAGGAGGTAGAAGCTGTTATTTCCTGCCCACCGTTGGACTGAGCAGCACAGAAAGCTGGTCTGCACTTCCCCTCGCTCTAGGTCCCAGTTCCTAGGTATTTTTAGGCCCAGCCACCTCCCTGGCCTAGGTTTCCATGAGAGTGATAACCTCTTCTCTCTGAGACACACTGGCTCCGAGACCAGCTGTAACTTCTCCCCCAGAAAGAGGGGGACGGCCCTCTCCCTAGCTTCTAACAGCTCTGGTTCCAAGAACAAGGAAGGTCAGGAGCTCACTGTCTTTGAAAAAGCCCAAGTTCTTCATCCCAGCTCTGGCCCTACACACTGGTACCTGAGAACGCTTCCATTTGCCCATGTCTGGAACTGTGTGGATCTCCTTTTTTGGAATGATGAAGTTCTGAGTGGCTGGAGGGATATCCTCCGAAGAATCTTGACAAAGAGAGTGAAGAAGCAAATAGATAAATAGAATCTTCCCCCTCAACCCAACTTTCTCTCTCTCTCTCTCTCTCTCTCTCACACACACACACACACACACACACACACACACGTTTAAACCAAGACTCCAACCCCCAGTCCCTGGGGTAAACCAGACACGTCCTCCCAGGACAATCAAGCCAAATCCACTGACCGCCCGCCTTTCCACCCTCAGCCAGGAGCCCCGCCGTACTGACGATGCCCTCAACAACTGACGGGTTCAGCTGCTCCGCAGTGCGGTGCCCTCACCTCCTGCTCCCTCACCAGAGAATGGTTAGAAAAATAAAACGAAGTTGACCTTTTAGACAGAAGCAGGCAATTCAAAGAAGGAGGAAAAAAATTACAAACGACCACCCATAAACATTTGAAAAAAATTGCCAACCTCTGAGTAAGCACAGAAATGTAAATTAGATGAGATGGCTTTTCCAGATCAGGGTGGCAGATTAAAACCATCTGGCATCAACTGGGAATGGGGAAGCGGGAACTCTCCTGCACTGCTAGTGGGAGTCTTGGTAGAATCTGCTGAGGAGGCAACTCAGCACTGACTTTTGAAGTAAAAACCACACAGACCCATGGAGCCAACAGTTCTACTTGTAGGCATCAACCCTTTATATACACCTTTATATACACCAAGGTGTATATAAAGGCACTTACTGCATGGAAAAAAAGTAGAAACAGCGCATATATCAATTGACAAGGCAATAGGTAAATAATAATATGCTCACATAATGGAAATCTTCATAGTTTTTTAAAAAGAATAAAACCTAAATTATTGACATAGGAAAACAGCCTAGATATTAATAAGTAAAAAAAGAAAATTAAGCTATATTATATATAACATAATCTCATTATTGCAAAAATAGCTATACATACTCGTATAAGTAACATGTATATCAGCATATACACTGGAAAAACCTGAAGGATTAAACCCCAAAGTTAATTAATAGTCCTCTCTAGGAGGTAAGATTTATAAGGGACTTCCATTTCTAAACTACATATTGCTATTAAAAACTAGCATACAGTATGGGGCGCCTGGGTGACTCATTCAGTTGAGCACCCAACTCTTGATTTCAGCTCAGGTCATGATCTCATGATCTCAGGGTCATGAGACGGAGACCCGCATCAGGCTCCGTGCTGGACATGGAGCCTGCCTAAGATTCTCTCTCTCCCTCTCCTTCTCTCCCTACCCCCAACATTCGCAAGCCTGAGCGCACACTCGCACTCTCTTTCGTAAAAAAAAAAAAAAAAAAAGAATTAGCATACAGTAATTTTGTAATCAGAAAAAAAAAAAAAAAACTTTTAAATGGAGTTTCTATATTTGCAGAACTTGGGAAAAGGAAAACACAGGGCAGTTCCACGTGCTGACCTAGAAGCAAACTTCACACCAAAGTGGACTGCTTAGTATGAGTGGCCTCTCTAGCCAAAAATACCTGGCCCACACTGCAGGATTCCCTTTACTTTGTGACACTGGGAAATACAAGCCCTCAGTCTCTTCTCCATAATTCCAAAATCCAAAAAGTTCTAAAAACCCAAAGTTTTTAAAATAAGTTTGGCACAAATTCATTTGGTACAAAAAACTTAAACCTAAACCAACGTGAGGACATTTATAGGCTTTGCAGATCCCTCTTAGGGAATTTAGGTTTTCCTGCAGAAGTATTTTTGTCTGATTGTGGGGTGCTCCTTTCTGAAATCTGGGGAACCCTGAATTCCAAAATACACCTGGCCCCAAGGGTCTTGGACAGGGGCCGTGCCTGAATCCACTACTGAAGATCTGTTGTATTAGTTAACACCTTCCTTTAAAAACCCAAACTCTCCAGAAAGAGTCATTCACGACATACGATAAATTTGTACCCCTGCTGTCCTCCTAAAATCTAGCTGACATTGCCTGCATGGAGAAAGGGGACATGGGCCTAAGATGGTTCTGGAACATGTGACATTTCGGAGAATGGAGCATGCCCGGAGAGGCCCCGAGGAAAGGGAAAGCTCTAGGATACCCGGAGACCTGAGGAGGAGGATAGAGAATCTGAGATGAGAGCAAGGCAAACCTCTGCCTAATTCAAAATTGAAACCAGAGCCCAAAAAACAAATCAGAAACTCTCTTCCTCCTCCCACCTGTTTTACAAGCCCTGTTCCCAGAACCCAAAATTGAGGCCCCTACTATTAGTAAATTACTACCTTAATATGCTATTAAATAGGGGTGCCTGGGTGGCTCAGTCTGTGAAGGTCTGCCTTCAGCTCAGGTCATGATCGCAGGGTCCTGGGATCCAGCCCCACTTCGGGCTCCCTGCTCAGCGGGGGTCTGCTGCTCCCTCTCCCTCTGCCTCCTCCCTCCTGTTCATGCTGTCTCTCTCTCTCAAAAGATTTTATTTATTTATTTGACACAGAGAGACACAGCGAGAGAGGGAACACAAGCAGGGGGAGTGGGAGAGGGAGAAGCAACCCTCCCACGGAGCAGGGAGCCTGATGCAGGGCTCGATCCCAGAACCCTGGGATCATGACCTGAGCCAAAGGCAGACGCTTAACGACTGAGCCACCCAGCGCCCCGATAAATAAAATCTTTAAAAAAAAAAAAATGCTATTAAATTAAAAGCTTTATAGGTCAGGCTGGTAACCTAACATCATTGTTTTTATGGGAAAATGTGTTCCACATTCCAAATAATCAACTTGCAAATGATCATTAGGAACAGAGAGCCCTTCTGTAAGTTCCCTGCCAGGGGACAGCCTTTCTGAGTTATTTCACAGGTGGGAAACCGTCCAAGCCAGGCCTGGTACCAGAGGAATGGCTACCTTGTAGGAAGCATTGCAACAACCACTAATGAAACATACACACATGTTGTTACCAGAATATGCAATCTCAAATAAAAGAAACAAGCCTTCAAACCAGGGTCTTGATAACTGAGTCCCTCCGGCCTCAGACTCTATCTCTGACAAAGGTGTCACGGGACAGGTGGATACCCTACAAGCTCACAGTAAAAGATGGAAGTATCTAGAGTTTTAGAGATGTTCCCTAAACCCCCCCCCAAAGTATAATGTAATATCATCGATCATTTGAGAACCAGCCTACATGTTCAACCTGTACCTTTTAAAAGGACAACAGCCATCAACATTTCCTGACTACTCCCCATGCCCCATGTTTTGCCCACATCATCTACGGAACACACGCTACAACTCTGTTGAAGGTATTAACAGCCCCATTTTCAGAGAGAAGCAAGGCTCAGAGAATGTGATCTGCCAGGCAGAGCCAGGTCTGTACAACTCTAAAATCCAAGGTTTTCATCACTACACTGTCTGAGTGAAGTAGTTCTTTCTCCTTTTTCCAAAATGTCCTGTTTCAAACTTCAAAGAAGGACCACCTCCTGGCACCTGGCTCTTTCCAGCCGTAGATATCCTCACTGTGCCTTCATCTCTTTCAGTGCATGGGCTATCTCACCCAGCCACCCAACTTCGGAGACACATTCATCTCACTGAGAATTCCGCTTGGCTTCTATCTCTCACAGGCATTACCGAACTTCTAAGGGCACAGGCACAGAAGTTTTGTACTAAATGAAGTAAACGTCTGGTTTCAAATGCCCTAAGAGACCATACCCAGCTCTTTGTTCATCTATTTGGTGCGGGGAAGGGGATGCCTTTTTTGATCTTCATAATTTCTCCTTCCTGAGTCCTTTCCAGGGATCCCAAAATGCAAGACAGTTAGAAGGAATATCCAATGCGTTCAAAACATTAGCTGTGTTTGGTCAATCTATTCGCCCTGTCAGAATTTTAAATCGTCTACGGTCAGTCCCTCCTAGCTCGGGTGCGGGAGGTGGGTGTCAGCAAACAGGCTTCCCCTTCTCCAGGAAACGGGTCTCTAGAAGATCCTTTCCCTAGTTATTTGACATGAACTAAATAAAGCCAGGCCACAGTGTAAATAAAAGTTACAGATCGTGATGCCAGGGAGAGGCTCATCTTGCACAACCAGCTTTTTTAAATTAGTGGTTTACACAACCAAGGGCAGTTTCTCTCAGTAAATTTTCAGCCACTGAAACCCGCCTCCAAGAGGGAGAGAGGGTAAGGCGGATGAGGGGTGGGCAGGGTGCGGAGGAGTCTGGAAACCGGGTGGAGGCAGGCCCAGGCCCACAGAGCACCACCCCTCACCCCCTGAGCAGGGTCTAATAAAGAAGGCATCCACCAGAATCACTTTCGACCCCATCCCTGGCAGCTTCCCCACCAGCTCAAGAGCTGACTTCAGCACAAGCAGCCCAGATGTGGAAAAGGCCTCCCCACGGGCCACGGCGCTGCCCAGGCTCCCCAAGTTCAGGTGTTGCGCCCCACCCGCCACCCCTTCGCAGCCCCGGGTTCTTGCCGGCTCCCCAGATACCCCCAACACGTCTTCCTCAGGGCCCAGCAGCTTCTACCACCCGAGTTCCTCCACCTCCCGACCCGCCCCCTCCC